GATGGCCTAAAGCCTTGGGACCCTGCACCCATGAGGGATACCCGGAAGAAGTTCCTGGTTCCTGGCTTCGGATCAGCATAGCATCGGCCGTTTCGCTCACTTGGGCAGTGAGTCATCAGATGGAAGATCTTCCTCTCTGTCTCTCCTCCTCTCTGTATATCTGACTTTGTAATAAAAATAAATAAATCTAAAAAAATTAACAAGTGGACAATAAAACGTCTAAGTCATAAGAGAAACGGTGACACAAAGAGTGGGATGACTTAGAAAAATAACTCTATCTTGGAAAAAAAAAGAAAAAAAATACCTCCCTGTGAATTCTTTCCAAATATTAAATATATTTTTTATATTGGAAAGCAAGGGGTGAAAGAGAGACACAGGATTCTCCCATTGCTTGTTCACTCCCCAAGGGTTGTGAACATGTGTAGCTGGACCAAGTTAATTTCGGACACTAGGAACCTAATATGCCTCTCCCATCTGCATGACAGTGGCCAACTACTGGAGCCAGCACCTGCTGCTGATCTAGTCTGTTTAAATGCAAATGCTACATTGGCCTCTTTAATTTTCCCAGAGAACTGACCATGATAAAGGCACCGCAGTTTCTATAAATGTGTTAGTACTTAAAGATCCTAAATAATCTTACCATTGCAATGAAAAATATCTCAATGTGGGAAAATTACATTGGGTACTAGCTGAACTACAGTCTTTAGAATGGGTTGAACAAGTGAATTACGAAAGTGGTAGAAGAAACATTTTCTTGAGAAGCAGCCACATTGGCATGTTTGTGAGCCATCAGGTTTCTTTTAGCTCTGGGTGTATGCTATTTGTATAAACCGGGATTGTGAGAATAGCTGATTTGCTAGGTATCCACAGAACCTTAAACAGGTGAGTAATGTGGGCTCCATTTTGGAGAGTAACTCTGCAGTGGTTAGGAATTCTACTTGTTGCCATAGCATAACAATGTCATGTACAACTACAAAAGGAAACTAAGGTACTCAAGAGGGTCCCAAGACTTCATTTTTTTTTATGGCAACAAACCTATATTCTGTCTTTTTCTTTCCATGTATGAAAAACAGAGAGGTTTGGACTGGTAATGTGATATTGTGGGTCATGCTGTGGTATCCCATATAGGAAAACTGCTTCAAGTCCTACTGGCTTCATTTTTTTTTCTTTTAATTGGAAAGTCAGATTTACAAAGAGAAGGAGAAATACAGAGAAAGATCTCCCATCCACTGGTTCACTCCCCAAATGGCCACAATGGCCAGAGCTGAGTCAATCTGAAGCCAGAAACCAGGAGACTCCTTTGAGTCTCCCACATGGGTGCAGTGTCCCAAGACTTTAGGCCATTTTCCACTGCTTTCCCAGGCCACAAGCAGAGAGCTAGATGGGAAATGGAGCAGCCAGGACACAAACTCTTAGCAGATGCAAGATGAGGATTTAGCCACTAGGCTACCACTCGTGGGCCACAGCTAAACTTTGGCTCTAGTTCTCCATGGGGGCACAAGTACTTGGGAGTTTGTTGGGAGTTTGTACCTGCTTTTTTCTGGCATAGCTTCTGGGGGAGTAAAATAGCAGATGTATGTTCTCTTTCTCTTTCTGTCATGCTGCATTTCAAATAAATAAATCCTTTTTTTTTTTTTTTTTTTTTTTAAGAAGGCAAAGGCTTTCTGCCCAGCCGGAAGGTAGAAGAACAGAGTGGCTGCTGAGAATCTCAGCTTTCAAAACCCAGGCACCAGAGGAATGTCCCAGTCAGGTGGCTGGGTGTGGTTTCTACAATGGAAAAGCTGAGGCTCCCAGATCCAGAAACACTTAGGGAGAAGGCTGGTGATGGCATTACACATTGATGGAACAAGTTTTCCATAAATAGAATTAAGTCCTGGACAAAAGAGTAAGTAGTTACCGTGGGTTATGGCAGTCAAGGAAGGAGGCATAAACAGGTAGAGGCCAGAGAATTTTTAGAGTAGTGAAATTATTCTGTATGACATAACACAACACAATTATATCTACCACATTTGCTAAAAGTTAAAGCTTTACAGAGACTGATCTCATAAGCAAACTAGAGGCTTCAATATTAATGTGTCAGGATTTTTTTTAGATTTCTTTTAATTGCAAAGTCAGATACATATACAGAGACAGAAAGGAAGATCTTCCGTCCAATGATTCACAGCCCAAGTGACTGCAACGACTGGTACTGAGCCGATCTGAAGCCAGGAGCCAGGAATTTCCTTCAGGTCTCCCACACGGATCCAGGGTCCCAAGGCTTTGGGCCATCCTCAACTGCTCTCCCAGGCCAACTGCTCTCTCAAGCAGGGAGCTGGATGGGAAGTGGAGCTGCCAGGATTAGAACCGGCACCAAATAAGGGATCCCAGCGCATTCAAGGCGAGGACTTTAGCCATTAGGCTACCGCGCCGGGCCCAATGTATCAGTATTTTCAACACTGCATAAGAAAAAACCTAATATAAGACAGTATTAGGGATCCGGTGGCATGGCTTAGCGGCTAACGTCCTCACCTTGAACGCGCCAGGATCCCATATGGGTGCCGGTTCTAATCCCAGCAGCTCCACTTCCTATCCAGCTCCCTGCTTGTGGCCTAGGAAAGCAGTCGAGGACAGCCCAAAGCTTTGGGACCCTGCACCTGTGTGGGATACCTGGAAGAAGTTAATGGCTCCTGGCTTCGGATCAGCGTAGCACCGGCCATTGCGGCTCACTTGTGGAATGCATCATCAGATGGAAGATCTTCCTCTCTGTCTCTCCTCCTCTCTGTATGTCTGATTTTCCAATAAATAAATAAATCTTAAAAAAAAAAAAGACATTATTAGGGACCTGGCCATGGCCTAGCGGCTAAACTCCTTGCCCTGAACACACCAGGATCCCATATGGGCATTGGTTCTAATCCCAGCAGCTCCACTTCCCATCCAGCTCCCTGCTTGTGGCCTAGGAAAGCAGTCGAGGACGGCCCAAAGCCTTGGGATCCTGCACCCGTTTGGGAGACCTGGAAGAAGTTTCTGGCTCCTGGCTTCAGATCAGTGTAGTACCGGCCGTTGTGCTCACTTGGGATATGAATCATCGGATGGAAGATCTTCCTCTGTGTCTCTTTTCCTCTCTGTATATCTGACTTTGTAATAAAAAGAAATAAATCTTTTAAAAAAAGACATTATATAATTGGCGAAACAGAGCAATTTTTACACTAATTTATTTATCTCTGGAAATATCACTGATATACAAATCAACTAAAACATATACACAAACACAGACACACACAGAGGCACTATAGCTTCCTAATTTGAAATGGGCAGGGTTTCATTTTGTGTTCTTCAAGATTTTTTTAAAGATTATTTAATTTTATTGGAAAATAGATTTACAAAAAAATTGTCCATCTTCCAGTTTACTCCCCAAGAGGGTACAATGGCAACAGCTGAGCCAATCCGAAGCCAGGAGCCAGGAACTTCCTCTGGGTATCCCACTAAGGTGCAGGGTCTCAAGGCTTTGGGTCCTCCACTGCTTTCCCAGGTTACATCAGGGAGCTGGATGGGAAGTGGAGCTGCCAGGACACTAACCAGCACCCATAGGGGATTCTGGCACTTTAAGGTGAAGATTTAGTTATTTTTTTTTTAAAGATTTATTTTATTTTTATTGGAAAGGCAGATATTCAGAGAGGAGGAGACACGGAGAGGAAGATTTTCCATTCAATGATTCAATATCCAAGCGGTCACAACGGCTGGAGCTGAGCCAATCTGAAGCCAGGAGCTAGTAGCTTCTTCCAGGTGTCTCACACGCAGGTGCAGGGTCCCAAGGCTTTGGGCCGTCCTCGCCTGCTTTCCCAAGCCACAAGCAGGGGGCTGGATGGGAAGCAGAGCTTCCGGGATTAGAACCAACGCCCATATGGGATCCTGGCATATTCAAGGCAAGGACTTTAGTCTCTACACTGTCGCGCCGGGCACAAAGATTTAGTTATTGAGCCATCGCTGAACCCTACTTCATTTTTTTTTTTTTTTTGAACGGCAGAATCACAGAGCCAAAATCCTCCATTAGCAGGCCAACTCCCTAGATGGCCGCAATGACCAGCCTAAGCCAGGAGCCTCTTCTTGGTTTCCCACATAAGGTGGGGCCCAAGGACGTCAGGCATTTCCTGCCTCTTTCCCAGGTCACAAGCAGAGAACAGGCTGGGAAGTGGAGCAGCTGGGACTCGAACCTGCACCCATAAGAATGTCAGAACTGTACATGAATCAGCCTGTTACACCAAGGCAACAATCTCTCTAGAGTTTCATTTTACAAAAACACTACAATAAAATGTATTGACTTTTGTATTTTTAAAAACTGCATAAGTGCTGTATTATGATGCAACCCAGAAAATATTAAGAGCATTCTATTCTCAAAGCAATATAACTTAGTCTTCATACAATTCTATCAAATATTATTATTCATATTTCCCAAAAGAACCAACACCGCAAAGAAGGCCAAGAAAACACAGTAGTGCGGGCTTACCAATCCGGATTCTATTCTCGACACTCCAAACTGCACGAAGCCGAGGTGAGTGAGCGCCGTCTGCGCCCACCTTCCACGTCGGGCCAGACAGGAAGCCCGGAAGAAAGGTGGCCATCCCCGACTCCCGGCATGCCAAGCGGCCGCCAGCCCGTCACGGGCACGAGCACGGCAGGCGTGAGGTGTGCAAAGCCTTGTGGGAGCGGAAGTGCTCGTGGCCTGTGGCCTCCGTGGGCCCACCGCAGTCCCAGCTCCGCTTTGCCGCAGCTTCGTGGGGCTCCTGGCCGCCGGTCGCTGAAGGTAAGCAAGGCTGGCAGCAGGGCGGGAAAGCTGGAGGGAGACGCAGGCGCTGGCCACGAGGTGAAGGGCGAAGCCCTTCGGCAGCTGGACCTGACCCGCGGTGTCCTGGGAGCCGCTGCCGTGCCAGCACCGGGAAAGGGAGGAGCGAGAGCAGCGTCCCTGAGGCCTTGCCCGCTCGGTCTCTCATCTCCTCCTCTTCCCCTGTTTTACCCTGCTCCCCTCAGGGCTCCGCCGCCATCTCCACCATGCAGGCCCGGGAACACGCTGTGCCTTCTTGCCGCCATGCTGGCCCCCAGAGTGCGAGTCAGCCCAAGAAGCTGAACGAGGGCACTGTGTCATCCTTTTTTACTGGTCCTGAGGATTTAGAGGACTCGGGCCACTCCGCCGCCCTGCTGGCACAGCTCAAGTCCTTCTATGACGCGCGGCTGCTGTGTGATGTGACCATCGAGGTGGTGACACCTGGCAGCGGGCCTGGCACGGGGCGCCTGTTCCCCTGCAACCGCAACGTGTTGGCCGCCGCGTGTCCCTACTTCAAGAGCATGTTCACGGGCGGCATGTACGAGAGCCAGCAGGCCAGCGTGACCATGCACGACGTGGACGCCGAGTCCTTCGAGGTGTTGGTGGATTACTGCTACACGGGGCGCGTGTCCCTGAGCGAGGCCAACGTGCAGCGCCTGTACGCCGCCTCGGACATGCTGCAGCTCGAGTATGTGCGGGAAGCCTGTGCCTCCTTCCTGGCCCGCCGTCTCGACCTGGCCAACTGCACGGCCATCCTCAAGTTTGCTGATGCCTTCGGGCACCGCAAGCTGAGATCCCAGGCCCAGTCTTTTATAGCTCACAACTTCAAGCAGCTCAGCCGCATGGGCTCAGTTCGGGAGGAGTCTCTGGCAGATCTGACCCTGGCCCAGCTGCTGGCCATCCTGCGCCTCGACAGCCTGGACATTGAGAGCGAGCTGACAGTGTGTCACGTGGCCCTGCAGTGGCTGGAAGCCGCCCCCAAAGAGCGGGGCCCCAGTGCGGCAGAAGTCTTCAAGTGTGTGCGCTGGGCACTCTTCACTGAAGGTGACCAGGACTACCTGGAAGGGCTGCTGGCCAAGCCCATCGTGAGGAAGTACTGCCTGGACATTATCGAGGGGGCCCTGCAGATGCGCTATGGTGACACGCTGTGCAAGTCCCTGGTGACAGCGCCAAACAGCAGCAGCAGTGCCAGCAGCTCTGTCGTGTCTGCAGCAGAAAATCCACCCCAGAGGCTGGGAATGTGTGCCAAGGACATGGTGATCTTCTTTGGCCGTCCCAAAGATCCATTTATCTGCTGTGACCCATACTCAGGGGACGTTTACAAGCTGCCCTCCCCCTTGACGGGCCTCACCCTCACTGGAGTTGTCATCACTTTCGCCGTCTGTGTCTCTCCAGATCATGACATCTACCTAGCTGCCCAGCCCATTAAAGAACTCTGGGTGTACAAACCAGCCCAGAATAGCTGGCAGCAACTTCCAGACTCCTTGTTGTGTCGTGAGGGCATGAAAATAGCTTATCTGGATGGTTATGTTTACATTTTGGGTGGGCGAGACCCTGTTACTGGAGTGAAATGGAAGAAGGTGGAATGCTATAGCATACAGAAGAACCAGTGGGTATTAGTGGCTTCCCTACCTCATTCTTTTATGTCCTTTGACCTAATCATATCTCAAAACCGTCTGTATGCCCTCAATAGTAAGTACATGTATAGTTATGATCCCAGCCACAATACCTGGCTGAAGTGTCTTTCGCCCAGGCACTGTCACTTACGGGAAGCCAGCGTCTTTAATGATGAGATCTATTGTATCTGTGACCTACCAGGCATGAAGGTCTACAACCCGGTCCAGGCCCAGTGGAGGCAGATTAGTGGTATTCCCTTGGTGACAGAGAACAACAACTACAGGATTATCAGCCATGGTCAAAAATTGTTGCTTATCACCTCATTCACCCCAAAATGGAAAACCAACCGAGTCACCATGTATGAATATGATAGTACAGAAGATCTGTGGGTAAACATACGCAGTCCATTAGGCCTCTTGCAGTTTGACTCGTACTTTTTGTGTCTCTCAGCTCGTGTTTATCCTTCCTGTCTTGAACCTGGGCAGAGTTTCCTCAGTGAAGATGATATACCAAGTGATTGTAGTACTGAGTGGAATGTAGGTGGGTTCAGTGAGCTGGGCTCTGAACCGGGAAGTTCTAGTTCCATGTCTGATGATTATGATTGGTTTCCAGTAACGCTTCGATGCAATTTGGAACATGACTAGACTTTCTTGTTCCAAAATTGAAGCACCAGGTGTTTTTACTGCTTTGGAAAGTATCCTGTAGGCAGTGCTCTTCCTCTGAGGTAGCAAGGAGTTAAATAGCTACAGATTTGGTGTAAGCAAGGGATATGGTTAAAACACTTGTGTAATTTAATGCCTCGGAATGTCAGCACTCAGAAGAATCAACCTATTTAGTATTTTACTCTCCTAGTATTTTAATGGTTAGTAATGGTTGTGTTTCATTACAGTAATTCAGTCTTCTGATAAAGTTTACATTGTTCTGTGCTACAAGCATTTAACTTAAATTTTAGTTTTTGTAATAGGTAATTGGATAGAAATTGATAATGCTGTTGTGAAAAAAAATATTTTTCTTCAGTATAATGTGTAGAGTTTGAAAATAGCACTGAATAGTGAGTTTTTACAAAATGTGTTGTAACTGAAATATAGTCAGTTTGCTATTAATTTTCTCAACTATGACTAAGGAAAAGTACAAAAAAGTGCATATTATATGTTACATGCATATTATATGATTTTGTATGTTAATACATAATGACTGAAACTTCACTGAATGTCAAAACAGACACAGATACAATTCTGTTCAAAAACAACATTTCAGTTTCAGACTATAAAATATGAGTTTGCAAATCAACTAAACAATTAATCGCAAGAAATTATATGTTGGTATGGTCAAACTTCACAAGAAAATAGCAACTTGCATTATAGTTTTTATGTCTTTAGTGTGTATACCTGATACATGTTTCATTGAATCAGGGAATGTCTTTTTCCTCTTTGGGAAATGACTGAGTACAAAATTATCTGCTTCCTTATTTGAAGAAGTATATGTTATTCTTAAATATTTTAGCTGTACAGTTTTGGTGTTCATTGTTAGAGGATTATTTAGCAGGATGTGCTATCTCCTCAGTGTTTAATTAGCTTTTAATGGTTTTGAGTTTAAAAACATATAAGCTAAAAGTAGTATATTGTTGAGCTCAGTAGTTACTGTCTTTGAACAGTAAAAGTGCCAAAGAAAGACCTTTAAAAGTTTAAGTTGTATAGCATTGAAATTTTGTCAGTCTTTTGAAATTACTAAATGTGCTTGCTTATCAGCTTAAAAGTGTTTTTGTATTAAAAGTTAACAGTTAAAGGACATTGAGAGATGGCACAGGGCTGTTAGCTGAAGCTTATTTCCCGTACGGTGTGCTCCTCTAGAAGTGGTACACATTGCCAGTGTGGCATTTAGACATGCTCGCTGTCTGTGAGCCATGCTCTAGTGTTTATTTTTCTGTCACCATAAGGACATGCAATGTAAGGACAAGTTTAGAAATAGATACTGAATTCCACACAACTGACATTGTGTTTTCCTTGTGAAAACAGATTAATGCAAAAAGGCTAAGGTTACATGTACATGACAACTCAAATACACAGCAGAGGAATATGCTCTTGTGTGTAGGGGGGACTAAGTTTTTGAATGAAATGTAAAATAAAGATAGGAAGAGATGCAAAAGGAATAAAACTAACAGTGTTTTCTTAGTCATTTCAATTGTCCTTTTGCAAATTCTGAAAGATAGTCATGTTTAATATTTTAACTGAAATGCCTGCTTTGTCTCTGTGTCTCTTTATAATAATATATGTGCTTCTTCAGTTTAAGGTGATAATTTACTTCATTTGACAGCAGTGGACTTAACTAAAAAGCTGTTCTTAATAGTGTTAATTTTTTTGCCATGTTTTGCTTACTATTAACTTGTTGCTGATAGATTTTTGTTTTGTATGGTTGAAATTTGATAATGCTTATTCCAGCCAGATTATCTATCTGCAGATTAAAGTTATGCAAAGAAAAAAAAATTCTCCTGTGTGTTATTCTTTACCTCGAAGTGCAGTAGTATCTTAGTTTACAATAGGTTTTTAATTGGAAAGGAGTTTTTCTTTCTTTTTCTTTTAAATTTGAAAGCCAGAGCAACAGAGTGCAAAGCAGCAGCAGCCAGGAGCCAGGAACTTAATCTGAGTCTCCCAAGTGAGTGGGGTCTCAAGGGCTTGGGCTGTCTCACTCTGCATTCCCAGCTTCATCAGCAGGAAGGTTTACTGAAAGCAGAAGAACTGCAGCTCAAAACCAGCAGTGTGATATGGGATAAAATAAAATTAATTAATTAATTAATTAATTAAATCCTTTAAAAAAACCCATTTCATTAGTGGTTTATTTTTCATTTATTTGTCCTGGTAAATACTAATACAGGGATGCTTGGTGCTGGGAATGCTCCCATGGCCACTCCATCTGTCATCTTTGCCCCTTCTGTAACTTGAATTGCCTCCATTAAGAATGATGACTCCTTGGGCCTGGCGCAGTGGCATAGTGGCGCAAGTGGTTAAGGTCCTCGCCTTGCACGCCTGGGATCCCATATGGGCGCCGGTTCTAATCCCGGAAGCCCCGCTTCCCTTCCAGCTCCCTGTCTGTGGCTCGAAAAGGCAGTCGAGGACGGCCCAAAGCTTTGGGACCCTGCACCCGCGTGGGAGACCCCGAAGAGGCTCCTGGGTTCGGTTCGGCGTAGTGAATCATCGGACGCAAGACCTTCCTCTCTGTCTCTCCTCCCCTCTGTATTTCCGCCTTTCCAATTAAAAAAAAAAAAAAAAAAAAAAAAGAATGATGACTCCTTAACCTGCTTCTCGTAATAGGATAATTTGCCTTAGTCTAACTGAAAGAATGCCTTTTAAGTATTTCACTTGATCTTCCCAGTACTTTAAGAAATGTGGAAAGTAGCATGTTTAGTGCTAAGTCTAAATCTGCCTCTACGCCTTCGCACCAGGCCCTAATATGTTTTTTTAAGATTTATTTGAATACTAAACTGAAAGATCTTTCTTTGCTGATTCACATTCCAAATAATGGCAAGGACCAGGGCTTATCCAGGCTGAAGACAGATACTCAGAACTCTACCTGGACCTCCCCCAACTGGGGCAGGAGCTCAAGCACTAATAATTGGCAGGGACCTGCATCTTAAGTGGAGCAGCTGGGACTCAAACTGGCACTCCTGTATGGGGCACAGGTGGCTTGACCACAGTGGTGATCCCTGAAGTATCTGTAACTCTTGCCCATTCGTTGTCCAGCTGTGAGTTGTGCAGTTGCTCCATTTTGTGTTGCTAGTGAAAAAATGCTTCAAGCTGAAGAGTTCCAAGAGTCAAGAAAATGGCACCATTGTCCTCTAAATATCATAATATGGCAGGAAAATGGAAAGGAAACTAACTATGCAGAAGAGGCCAGGTAGGTGCGCTGGTTTCACTTTGTAAAAACCCACTGTGATGAGAACTCCACAAAGCCAATATTAGCGCCCTCAGCATGACTTCATTACTTTGCCAGGCCCCCACTTCTTCCAAGTTTGACAAACACTACCAAACTGGGGACTAAACTTACAGCCTACACATTTTAGGGATCTCACTAAAACCATATCTGAAATCATAGCACAGATTATTACTATAAAACATGAAGGTGAAGAATTTAAAAGAAACAAATAATTTTATTTGAAGGAATGTTTGGAGGGCCCAGTGCAGTAGTCTAGAGGCTACCTCACCTTGCACGCACTGGGATCCCCTATGGGCAACGGTTCTAATCCTGGCAGCCCCACTTCCCATCCAGCTCCCTGCTTGTGGGCTGGGAAGGCAGTCAAGGACGGCCCAAGGCCTTGGGGCCCTACACCCATGTGGGAGACCCAGAAGAGGCTCCAGAGTCATGGCTTTGGATTAGTTCAGCTCTGGCCGTTGTGGTCACTTGGGGAGTGAATCATTGGACGGAAGATCTTCCTCTCTGTCTCTTCTCCTCTCTGTATATCCGCCTTTCCAATAAAAATAAATCTTAAAAAAAAAATCATCTAAAATACTTCTTCATAATGCAGGGGAAAACTAGACTTTTACATTCATGAAATAAATTCACTTAACACCCCAAAACTCTCTAAATATTATTTGATAATACATATATTAGAAAAAGAAAACAGACCTTAACTATTTCACAAAGTTTTTAATAAGCTACAATTTTCTTACATATACACTAGTATCTTAAAAACACAAATTTTTACTACCAAAAGTTAAATACTGTACATTTTATGAAAAATATACTTTTAAGATTTTGCAAGTAATTAAGTCCATCTTTAAAGAAATTTAATCAGAAAACGGAAAAATTCCTAATATGAGTGAACGCTAATCATTTATGAAGCTAGAGGTCTATTTCAGTTCAAGTTTCTTTTATGTACATAGCATTAAAGCATAAAAACAAAAAAGTATTTTCCTGGACATATACTGTTGTAGACAACTGACAAATCAGCATAATGGCTGGTTAAAAGTTACAATGCTTCAGAAACACTTACTGTTTTAAACTCAGCTGGAGCTAATTTTCATTTCTACCTTTGGTCCAGATCTTACCACATATTAACCACTACATTTGAAGTATCTGAGCTGCTCCTGCTCCCTGCCCTTTGACTTTAAATTTAGGAAGGTAAGGTTAGATGCAAATACTTTCCATATAAGTCTCAAACAGGATCTTAAGAATCAATCTGCCACTGGCTGTGAATTTTCTATTTTGCAAGGAAAGTATGTCTGAAGGAGTAAGAATGGAATAAAGCCTTGTTTCCATGTTTTAAATAACAGATACACAGCATCTTAAATTATGACATAATTATCAATTTTTAGACACTGAACATAATACACTGTATTGCAATGCAATGTGGTAGGCTCCATTTTAGGAACAAAGATAATTTTTAAAAAAAAATATTTAATTCACATAAAATACATTTAGAATAAATCTAAATTTCTAGCATCAAAGTAGTTAGAAATACACACAAAGAATCTTTAAGATGTACTGTCTCCATTCTGTCCAGAAAGTATATGCAAGAAGTTCTATTATAATTACTGATCATCACCTCGTTGCCTTAAATTCCTAGCTTTTCCATTTTCAATTCTTCTCTTTTTGAAAACTGGCGCCACACCATCTGCGACAACTCCAAGAGAAGTGACAGTTTTTTCTT